AAACTAAATTCCTAATACTTTAACTACAATAAAAAAAACTCAAAATATTAAAATTAAAAATGTTAATAAAAATATAGCATCCCAATAATAAAAAAACAACCCTGTTTCTAGTCAGATTAAATATTCAGAATTCTAGTGTAGTTAGCTACAAATATATATATATATATATATATATATTTTTTTTTTCTTGTATATTATTGTACATATATTACAGGCCTGTATACACACAAATTGTTTTCACAATATAAACTATTTTTATGATGTACTGAGTTATTTTAATTTTACAATTTATTAACATTTAAATGTATATCAATGTATATATTTAATTTTTTTTATAAAATGACACTTTTTTATTGATAATAATGTCCATTATTTAATCATGATTTAAGATGTTAATGACTGTTATTACTTCTCATGGGCTTGGAATTATTATTATTATTAAATATTTTTAAATACACCCTGAACTGGGAACCCTGCCTGTTGCATTGAAACCTTCTAAAACAGATTCTTGAAGACAATACTTGCACTTGATTTGTTTTATTCAACACTCATGTTCTCAAGCTCGGGACACTTTGGCAGTTGTCTGAAATACAGTGGTGCATGTTGCTAGAGAGCCTCACCATCAGGCAACACCTGGATCCCCTTCTTTTGCTGGTTGTTATTCTGTGCTGATGATGTCTTGTCGCCAGGAAACTTGGGTCCATCTGCACTTGAGCTGCCCTTTCCTGAAGAGTTCAAGCTCTGTGGAGACAGCAGAGGCCACAACAATCAGTTAAAGCTCAAGCAATCACAGTCACAGCACTGGACGGCATCACTTAAATTTTAATAGCCACGCATCCTTACCCATCCTGCAAAACAATGACATGTTATTTATGCAATCTCTCCCTGAAGCTTATGAAAGATCAAATTCAGGCAATACTGACTGATTTGCTTTCATCCGTGCTCAATGTCGGGTCCTTGTAGTTGGGCCCGGGCAGGGCTGGGAAGTCTTCGTTGTGAATGGAAAAGTCCTGCGACTGTTCGTTCGATGGCTTTGTGACCATTCCAACTATGGAGAGATGCATTGTAATAAAGATTTGAGGGTTATTGTGAAGAAATCAAAATAAACCCCCTAACCTTGTCATGCATTCACAACACATCATCCATTGAAAGGAGAAGCGAGGGTTTCGGTTTCAGCTAAGTAATGCGACTGTGTAAAATGAACTCGTACCATAGGGTGCCCTTCCAGACAGCGGATTATGCAACGGTGTTGGGTTGCCGTTTCCCTCCCTCCGACTTCTGTCTGCAAGTGCTGGGAATTCTGAGAGGTCTATTCCTGTTACATTTTCACTCCCATCTGCCACGATAGCAGAAAGAATAATATGAGAATGAGCTATTTTCTTTCCAGAGCACAATTTAAGCGTCACGGTTCCTGACATGGTGTATCATCACGGAGCACGCGCCATACAGCACTCACCTGTCCCGTTGAAGATGTTATTGGATAAGGAGTTCATGCCAAACCCCTGGCTCCGGCCCATTCCAAATCCTGACATACTACAACGACACACATGAGGATTTGACCCTTTTGTTAAGGTCAGTCTTAATCAGTCTTGATTGGCCTTATCTTGGCCTAAGGTGAAAGTTAATTAAAATACACATATATATGTATTTAAGATTATGAGAAGCCACTTTTTAGAATCATCTTTCTGCAATAAACAAAAGAAGTGTAATGATGACAGGAGCTTTCAATGTACATATCAACCATAATGTTGCCCAAAAAGCCTTATAAAATATCAAATTTCACATTACGCATTTTAAAATGTATTCAAACAGAAAACAAAAATATTAAAAATCTGCCACTACAGTTTAGAGTTTGGGGTTGATACTTTCTTTTTGTTTTTAATCACATACATGCTTTTAATGCTTTTCAAACTTACACATTTGGTTTTCTATGACTATGACTATGATTTGTTGCTGACACAGAATGACTTGTGATAGATAGTCTTGGTTGTATCATAATGGGCTGAATATACAAACCAATCAGTATGTATTTATTTTTTTTAAATGTTTTATTTTTGCCTTTGAGTTTCCTGTATAATTGTAATAATAAGGGATGTACAACATCCATGGTTCAATACGCGCTTGTGAATTCGGTTTTGCGTTTT